AATAAATAAATAAATAAATAAATAAATAAATAAACAAACAAACAAACAAATAAATAAATAAATAAATAAAGTGGGAATATCAGTATGTACTTTTGTATGTGGTGGACACGCCCTCCAGACCAGTTGTTCTTATCCAGAGTATTTACAGAAACAGAATCTATCATAGGGCAAAAATGTATAAGGACACCAGATTGAACTCTTCTGTCCTTATTTTCAGGCAATAATGAACAGCTACTTCATAAACAGTTGATTATCTTTTTTTTTCTGTATGGCAGCACATTTGGAAATTGCCATGAAATGGAAGCAGACTTGTAATTTATTGTTACATGCGTGGAGAAGCAGAATATGGTATATTGCCCTAATGGAAAAATTAACACACCAGTCCAAATTACTTAAACAACCTCATTCTCAATATGACTTTTTAAACACATGGTTTCCTTAAAATTTTTATGTTAATAAGAGTAACCGGACTTATTTTCTACCACCCTCCCATGTCAGTCTTTGGTACAATATTTTAATCTGATACAGATTACAATAGTGTGAAGGAGCCATATCAGATTATACATTTCCAGTGAGAGACCTATACTATTATTTTGTTATTGTTGCTTCCATATTCCCTGAATAAAGCTCTTTAAAACAAAAAGGAATGTTTATGGGTTTGACCCACAATATTCAATGGGTGGGGGGGCCTCAAGGGCCACACCATTCATGACCTATGGCATGTGTGTCCAGTAAAGTTCCCCTTGACATTTTTAATCCAGTCATGTCCGACTCTAGGGGATTGGTGCTCATCCTGTTTTTCAAGCCATAGAGCCAGCTCTTGTCCGAAGACAGATTCCATTGTCACGTGGCCAGTGTGACTAGGGAACGCCATTTTACTTTCCCACCGAGATGGTACCTATTTATCTACTCACATTTACATGCTTTCGAACTGCTAGGTTGGCAAGGAGCTGGGACAAACGACAGGAGCTCACTCCGTCACGTGGATTCAATCTTACGACTGCTGGTCTTCTGACCCTGCAGCACAGGCTTCTGTGGTTTAGCCCGCAGCGCTGGTTAGTGCTAAATTAACCATGTTTGCCTGTGCTAAACTCCTTGCATTGTGCAACTATGACAGCAGCAACCGCATGAGCAGCCTGTGCCCAAATCACCTGCTGTGCAATGGTCTAGCTGGGCATAGACTTTATGACTGGGACTGTGGTGGTGGTGGGAGCTGCTAGACTCATTCCTTAACTGTTTTGCCTCCTCCTTACCCCTCTCCCTCTGCACCTTCAGCACACTTGTCCTTCCCTTGCACAAGCAATTGCACTGAAATACCACCTGCCTCTTCAGCTCTGAATCACATTTGGTTCACTAGCAAGTGCACATTCTTCTCTTGTCAGACATTGCTGCCACCCTTTGATCCTATATAAACTGACCTTTCTCATTGGTCTCCTCCAGAACACTGAAAAGTGCCCACACTTCTGAACTTTGAAAGAATATGCCCCAAGCCTGTGGAGGAAATTGAACAGTATAATAGGAATGATACAATAAATATAATATTTACATGACATTGAGAATATTTTTCTTTTCCCCCCTTTTTATTATTAAACTTTATTTTAAATTTATGACATTAAAACTAGTATCCTGTAGACAGAATGTGCTATGGAATAATATGTTTTGCACACAGTTCTTCCCTGGCCCCTCTTTGTATAAGAGAAAATCCAGAAAACCCTTCTGGGAGTAAAAAATCCCTTTTAAAACAATGGGGTGGCCTTTACTGTAAGTTGGGGATTGGTATTGTTGTGGCAGGAAAGGAAAAGGATGCTGGCCTAAGGGCTTGTTTATACTGACTGTTTTGGAGTGGGATGAGGTGGGCTAAATAAGGTTACATGGAGGTGTGATGTGACATCTGATGTGATCCTCACATCCAAATAGCATATTGGAGTGCAAGTGACCTTATTTAGTCTGGCTCCTTCTAATATCATGAAGAGGCTTAATAAGCAAGCCACTTCAGGATATCGGCAAACTAAACTCTCCTTGGCAGAGGGTTGGGGAAGTGAAATTTATTTTAAGACTCTGGTAGACTATATCGGCAAACTGAACTCTCCTTGGCAGAGGGTTGGGGAGTGAAATTTATTTTAAGACTCTGGTAGACTATTGCTGAAGGGCTGCATCACTTAAACAACATAAAATTAATATTTGATTTGTCTTAAAGGACCAGATTCAGCTGTAGGCAGTTTCTCAACTGTCCTTTGTGAGAAAGTAGTAGAGAAAGGAGGTGTGCCATTTCCTCCCAAGAAAATAACTGACATTATTGTGGCCAAAATAAAAGAAATTATGATCAGAATGGTGGACAGTTGTGATTTGAACCTGAAGGAGTTAGCAAACCCAGGAAATAAACAGCCTGAAGAGAGAGTCATTTTGGCAGGAGAAGGAAGAGATACAAAAGGAAGAGGAGGAAGGGGCAGTAGTGGAGGCAGAGGAGTGTTGGGTGAATGCAGAGGGGAAGGAGGAAGATGACACGTAGGTAGAAATTGTGGAAGGAGAAGGCCCATGGTCCAGTGAGTAGATGACTCTTGAGGTATCCAGAGAGGAGGTCCAAAGAGAGTGGAGAGAGGAGCTAGTTAGAAAACCCCCATACTGGGGAGAAATGAAGGAGCGAGAAGCACAAAGAAAGGAGAGGGAAAGAATTGCCAGAGGAACTGATAATAGAGAGAAAGGAAGAAACCTAATTTCCTCTAGGAACAGAGTCAGGAAGGACCTGGCCCAGAAGGTTTGGGAACCCAACGTGGCATTTGTGAGTGTGGATATGACTTCTATTAATATGGCTGAAGACGTCTTGTTAACTGTTGTTTGTTTGTTAAAGAATCATGCCTTGGGCTTGCAAAGTGTTATAAAAGAGACCTGGAACCCAAAAGGGGAAGATTTAAGTTCTCCTTTTATTATATATGCGTGCGTTTGTGCGTGCGTGCGCGCCTGTTAATTCAGATAAACTGTTTGGTATCAAGCTAGAGTCCGTGTCTGATGTTGTTCAAAAAAAGGAGAAACCTAATGAGGTAGAGGTCTTGCCCGAACCCCATAGCCCCTCAGACAAACCAAAGAAAATATTTTTTCTTCTCTTAAAAATTGATGCAGTGATAATCTACTACAGTTTAAAACGAAATTTCACTTTTCAGATGTTGAAGTGGCTTATTTTTAAAGCCATTTCACAATATCAGAAATTCCAATTGGAATTTGCTTTGACAGTTGAAGAAGGCTTGACCGATCACCGATGCAGAAAACAGGCCAAAACAGAGGAATCCAACCTGCACAAAAAAGAGTAGAAGCCCCTGTCAGGGGCTCTGAAAGGTGTGGTAGGACCATGGTGGCGACAGGTTGGTCTGTGTCAGCAGTTACATTGTGTGGCCACTGGAAAAAAGAACTGACAGGTTGGTCTGTGTCAGCAGTTACACTGGAAAAAAGAACAAGCCAACCCATCACCACAGCAGACCAAACAGCAGGACACCCATCTCATCGAGCCTTCAGTGTGATTGATCTTCTCTGCTCGATATTTTCATTCAAACACATATAGACTGTTGGGCTATTTCAAAGCATCCTTTTATAAGACGCATGCACAGTTCTGCAGCACTGAATTTTTTTTTCAACGAAATATTTCACGTTTTCTTTCCTGAAGATTTTCCAATCCAGAAAGCCCACATCATTAGCAGGGGCCAAAACAGAAATTCTCCCCTTGACCCTCCAATGTGGTCTTACCAGTAATGACATGAGAAAAATCTTCTGAAATGAGGAAGAAGGAGAGGCAACGACAGCAGCCTTCTCTGCTTGAGAAGAGGTCGCACGACTGCTGCTCCCTGCAAAGTGACTGTGAGCACTTTCTACCAGCAGGTTCAGTGCCCTTTCTGCCATCTCTTTTCAGCTTTCTGGCACAGGGTGTGCCAACCTTGGAGCTTAATCGTGGCTGACAAGAGTGATGCTAATTTCATCTTTCCCTCTGCCTCTCCCATGATCCCCATGACCAGTCTGTTACTCATAGTAATTACTGACTGCAAACAGACAGGCTTTGAATTCTCACTTGCATTCTAGTGTATTTGTGTGATGCAGACAAATGCTAGTAGCACAGAGATGCATGAGTTATGATGAAGGATTTAAATAGTCAGATGGAAACACCCCCACCCAACAATCTTTGAGAAACAAAGAGAATGGGATTTCAAATGCTAAGCAGAACTGAAAGGAATTATTTGGGACTTGCTTTTGCACACGAGTAAGAGATAGTTGCTCCTGCCAACCTAGCAGTTCGAAAGCATGTGAATGCGAGTAGATAAATAGGGTCCACCTTGGTGGGAGTGAAATGGCATTCCATGTCTAGTCACGCTGGCCATGTGACCATGGAAACTGTTTTCGGACAAACGCTGGCTCTATGGCTTGGAGACGGGAATGAGCACCGCCCCCTAGAGTCAAACACGACTGGACTAAATGTCAAGGGAAACCTTTACCTTTAAGAGACAGGAACCTGCAGATATCTCAGAGGAGCCAAGAACTACTACAAAAGTAGAGCAAGGCTTTGCTCCCTGTCATTTCTTCACAACACCCTCCCTTTGCCAGTATGATTAAAGGTTTGCGTGTGTAAACAACCCATCACTTTATTGAGCATTTCAGTGAAAATATATTAGAATGCATCTGAGCTGATGATGCCTGGAGAGTTAATGTGCTGAGTTCCTCCTTGTCTGCTTGCTTTTGCTTTTCCGTGTAACCTCTGTTGGACCTCTCTGCTGCTGGAGAGAAAATGAGAAAAGAAGGTGGCTATAAGAAAGGGAATAATATATAGACTGTTTAGTTTAAATGCTGTTAATGTTATGACAGATGAAATGAAAGAGTCTGATTTCATTGCACTTTCTCATCCGATAGGGAATGAATGCACACCTCCGGTTTTTACCCAGTCCTCTATAAATCTACTTCTGTTTGCAAGGGGTGTGCTAGACTTTAATCCTAGTGAGAATTGCTGTCTCTCTGTCTGTCTTTGGCAGAAGGAGGGCTGTGAATGGACATTTGCAGTGCTCACAAATCTGCCCAGTCAGTTGAGGCCAACCTAGATGTGACAGTGATGTGTGAACACAGTTACCAAGTCTCTGCAGGAGCAGTCTCTCAACTGTGGATGAAGATAGGAAGCTTAACTCTGTCACCATCTTTTCTCTGCAACTCTTATTTGTGTTTTGTAAGACGCCTCCATCAGTCTCCATGTAGTCACATAATTGATATAATGTGTACTTTGGCACTACCTAGCTTAAGCAGATCCACAAGTGTTCAGAATATTCTAGGAGAAAAAGATGTCAGGATGTTCCTAGTCCAATGTCTATAAAAGAAGGAAAAGCGGCAAGTTTGACCAGGATTAAAACTCCACTTATGACTTTTGGATAGGAGCAGGCTTGTAATGGACTCACAGAGTCAACCCTCCTGTGGGCATTTTGCAAAGTGCTTTCCATATAAAATAGGGGAATGAAATCCTCTGCTCTGTATTATGAAAACAGAGCAAGGATTTTCTGCATCCTGTTTGGGTGGGGATGGGAATGTTCACCAGCCTTCTATTCAAGGAAAGTTTTGGTTTAGTTTATTTACATATCAAAATATGAAAACCCTTCAGTTCCAAGCAAAATGTTAGGACTGGAGATGTACCTCCGAAAAGTAAATAAACTGGGATCACATAACATGGTCTCATCAACCATTGCTATATGGTAGCCTGAGCCATCATAGTATAACAAGTTGCTTAAGATATCCTCCTTACTTGCAACGTTTAACAAGACTATTATGCTTTAAAAAATTATTTATTATTAAGCACTTCAGATTGATTTACAAGAGTTTGATTTAAAGAGTTGAAGTTTAAGTAAAAGTTTTACTAAAATAAAATTCGATAAAATGTGAAATTTCAAGAGGAGTACATAGGTATCACCTTCTTAGATGTACATTTTAACACATACACACTGAAATCCTAACAAGAATATGTCAACAAATATGGAAAATGAATCAATGGCCCATATATATTCCAAGGGTGCAGTAACTGTGGGATCATTGCTGTGATTTCCCACGCAAGCAAAGTGATACTCAAGGTGTTGCAACAAAGGTCTTTACCTTATGTGGACAAGAAATGTCAGTTGTTCAAGCTGGATTCAAAAAGAGGCACTCAAGATCTTATTGTGAATATCTGCTGGCTATGGGAGACCACCAAAGAATTTCAGAAAAAGATTTGTCTATGCTTGATAGTCTACAGCAACATCTCTAACTGTGTGGATCATGAGAAACTATGGATTGTTCTGAAAGAAATGGGTGTGCCTTAGCATTTGATTGTCTTGATGAGTAACCAGTGTTGTGGACAAGAAACTACTGTCAGAATATAGAGATACAGAATTTTTTTTATAGGCCAGTGGTTCCCAATCTTGGGTCCCCATATGCTTTTGGACTACAACTCTCAGAAATTCTGGTCAGCACAGCTAGTGGTGAAGGCTTCTGGGAGTTTTAGTCCAAGAACATCTTCACCTATAGCAGTGATTCCCAAGGTCGGGAATCACTGCTATAGGCAAAGATATCAGACAAAGGTGTATTTTATCTCAGTCTACAGTATATGCAGAACATATCATATGGCAAGCCAGACTAGATTCAAATAAAGTAGAAGTGAAAATTGATGGAAGAAAGACAAATAATTTAAGATATGTAGATGACACTATCTTATTGGCAGAAATCAACAATGACTTGAAATGACTTTTTGTGAAATTGAAAGAAAAAAGTGCCAAAGCAGGACTGCAGTTGAATGTTAAGAAGACAAAATTATGATTCTAATAGAATTATACAGCTCCAAGAAAACTCCCCAACTCAAACTTATTCCCCCAAGAGGGAGTTCAACCTGCTCTGGGGCTGGCTGCTAGCCTCCATTCAGACCAATCAGCTTCTATATCCCCAATACTTCTAGATTAAGTTTCACCCTCATCCGTCCCCCTAAGCATTCTAAACACGTTCAGCAATTCTTCTGCCACCCAGGGAGGAGTAGCTGGAAATGACAAGAAAAAGTTACATTCATCCACATGTTGATTAATTTAGGCCTCAATATAATGTTTCCCAGTAGAGATTGGCATGAATTAGAAAAATGACAAATTGGAGTGGTTCGTGATTCATCAGTAGCCGAACTTTGGAAAAATGAAGCAGTTCACGGTTTGATTTTCCAGTTCATACTTGTGGGGGGGGAGAGAACCTAATGACTCTGCTACCCCATCCCCTTCCCATTGCCTCCCCACCTGGGCTTGCCACTTCCTCCATTGCCTCCTCCATCGCCACCATCTTCCAAGGCAGGAGCCTGGCTTCCCTACCGGCGGCCGGCCAGCTATCTCTGGATATGTGCCCACTTACCAGCTGGGAAAGGAAGCTGAGGTGCTGTTTCTGAAGATGGTGGTGGTGGTGGCAGCAGGATCAGGTAGGGAGGTGACTGGGGTAGCGGGAAAGGGGCAGGGGGTGCAAAACTAAGGGCTGGGCAGAAAAAAGTTCATTTTCTCCCCAACAAAATGACTTGCATGAACCAGACCATGAACTGAACCATGAACCAGTTTGCTTTGTGGGGTTCTTTTAGCTGAGTTCATGCCCATCCTAATTTCCTAGCTGCATCATGTTGATACTGAAAAACATAGGAAAGATGCTGTAAGGAAAATGGAGATGGAGGAGCTTACTTTTATGTCACCTTGAATTAGTAGCTACAACTCTCTCATCCCCTCCATCTGCCTAAAGTAAAAGAAGCCCCTGTTTATCCAACAGATGGGAGGATTTCTGGTCCAGGGTCTGTCCCCTTACCTGAGTTTGGGAAGTACAATAAAGAAAGGAAAACCAAAATAAATTCAAAGCTGCAAGGCTGACTTTCCCCTTTCTTAAGTGGGGAATCTTCTGGTATGTCAAGCAAGCAGATGGGCAGTGGGCTAAACTTCAGGGGAAGGAAGTAAGCTTTACTGTGTCCTGAAAGTAGAGTTACAACACTTTCAAAGCAAAAAGTTAATGGAAGGAGACACAAAACTTGGGCACAAAATTTGAACAACATAAAAATGGTACAAGAAACAAGAAAACACATGCAGGCAATTTTGAATAACTAGCACAGCTAAACAGAATCCTAATCCCTGATGCAAACTAGCTCATTATAGCCCTGATTCTACTCACAGCCATCTAGTTGTTTCTCATCTCCTATTGTCTTGGGATCAGCTCTCCCACATGGCTGGCCAGCCAAAGGGAGAGGAAGGAACAAGAAAGACAAAGGAAGCTCTTCTTGATCATTTTAAAATCCCTCAGTGAACCTGATCAGCTGGTACTTCTGAGACATCAGCAGATACCTTTCGAAGATGTTACTCCTTTCAACCTTTTCAGGCATGACTATTGGTTCCTAATGACACTAATGGGAACTTACACATTTCACAGAACCTGCAGTAAGCTTTTTATTGTGGGTTCTCTGCAAAAAGGCGCGAAACTGCCTGTTTTACACCTCTTGTTTCACTGCAGTTCCTCACATTAAATCGGGATATGGAGCAGCTGCCAGCCCACGGGCTGGCCAGTGCGAGGAGGATTCCCACTGCGAGTGACATGGTTGGGGTTGGGGAAGCAGCTTTTCTGCTTGACAAGCAGTGAAAATAGAGCCCCTGGAGCTTCTGCCCCTATCAAGAACTATGTTGTCATGCAGCAACACTATTCTTGCCTGAGGGGCATCTCTAGTGGCTGTTTTTGCCAAGTGTTGAGTGGGCAAGGACTCTGCTGCCATGACTGTCCATAGCCAGGAAAATGCCCAGCACTGGCTAGCCAGCAACAGAAGCCCTGGTGTGGTTTTAAACAGGGTGCATTGGCACCATTTCCAAACTGCACCAGGGTCTGCATCTGAAGTCACTGCAAATTCACTTTGGGTTTTCCACTGTGTGTAGTTATGGCCACAGATGCATCCCACGTCAAGACAGATGCTTAAATACTTTAAGTGTGGTAAGGGAATGAGCTAATCAACCTCCAAGATCCTTTCCAGTTCTTTATTGTTTTATGGAATGGTACCAGTTGTCAACCCTGAGTGCTCCCTGGAAGGACAGATCCTCAAGCTGAGGCTCCAATACTTTAGCCACCTCATGAGAAGAGAAGACTCCCTGGAAAAGACTCTGATGTTGGGAAAGTGTGAGGGCAAGAGGAGAAGGGGACGATAGAGGACAAGATGGTTGGACAGTGTCAACATGAACTTGACCCAAATCTGGGAGGCAGTGGAAGACAGGAGGGCCTGGCGTGCTTTGGTCCATGGGGTCACGAAGAGTTGGACATGACTTAATGACTAAACAACAACAGTAACAACAACCAGTTGTGAGCTGGGTGCTTGGATCATAGAAATTGTAGCTTTAGTTCCACAATGGCTTCAGCTGCATAGACTCCATGGGCCAGCAAGCAGATGAATCTGGGACTTACACACAGTCATTCAACTCCAAAGTAGCGCTGAACCTAGAAGAAACTGCCTTATAAGTAACAAAGCCATGTCCATATTGCTGAGGCAATGAATCTGTTGATCAACAGTGCGGCAGTTTCCCAAGATTTGGGTTCTCAGGTGAGTATAAGCAGCACTTAGTGCAACATGTTAATGTGTAAAGGTTGGTTTTTGTTTTTGTTTTGTTTACTGAATTCTATTCTCTTTTGGGAAGGCTCAGCTTAACAATGCCTGTTCGGCTTACAACCAGGCAAACTTTCTATGGAAAATGAAAAACTTCATGTGGAAAAGAAAGGAAGAAGTAAAATAATTAATTTTTAAAACTCATAGACCAGTTAGGAAGGTAAGGTTTTGCATATAATGCAACTCTTCCCTACAAGGAAATCATTAAAGCAAAGAATCTAGCAACTTTTGGAAAGGAAGTCTGTATCAATAAAATATTGCATTGCAATTGCTGTCTGCACTTCGTCTGCTGCCCTTTTGCGACCAGCTGCCCTGCTGCACTCCCGTTTTGTGCCTGAGGGAACCCAGTAATGGGTTTCAGCTCTCTCAATTAATGCTTGGCATCTCTAACAGAATCCACACCTTTTTCAACAAGCTTCAGGTCTCTTGTCACGATTGTTGACCTGACAGAAAACAACCCTGACTGCAGTCCTGGTTGTCTGCTTCCCCCAAGATGTGAAATTGTGCCTGACCACCCCCACCCCCACATGCTTAAAGCACTCTTGAGCGTTTCCCTAAGAATAAAATTTAGCGTGAGCCATTGTGGTGTCATAGATGGACTAATGATGGACTAGGACTCAGGAGTTGAACTCCCAGCTCAGCCATGGAAACTCACTTGGGGTTGGCAATGGTAAAACTACTCCTTAAGTATCTCACGTACCTTGAAAACCTTATCAGGGCTGGCATAACAGTGTAACACACAAGGATGAGAATATGAATAATTGCTAGCAGTAGTGAAATCATCTAGGGTCACATGGAAAGAACAATCGTAATGTTCGGGCCTCTGATCTGACATACCCCCCTCGCCCCTAAAACATGAACAGCGTGTGTCAGCTATGCTGTTCCCATAAGATAAGAATCAAACCCAGGTGACATGAGGGAAACCTCCTTTTCCTTTTTCAACGGACAAATCTTTTTGCTTCACTGGGCTTATTACTGCAATGATTGCCACCATCATCAACTGTCACCCCCATTCCTTCAGCACTGAATGATGTTCTGGATTCAGAGGCCTCAAGATAATACAACCCCCCCCTGGCTTGCTGCCAGGTTTTATAAGTGCCTAGGACTCCGTGCTGGCCTGCCTGGTTCAGGTCAGCCTCCTTGGCAGGGAAGAACATCTGCCGAGGTCCACCCCAATACACCTTAGGGGCTGAGATCATGGCTCCTGCATGGCACAATGAAGATATAGTTACCATCCCACCCTAGACTTGTTTATCTTTTTTGTTTGCTTGGTTTTTGGATGCCTCTCCTGCAGGAATTGATCCAGCAGCCTCTGCTTTGCTTGCTTGTCAGATTCAATGGAATCAACCACAAGTGAGAACCCCATGGCTGCAGGCCAGCCTGTCCCATTTAGCTGCATCAAATCACCTCCATGGCCAAGAGCGGGCTAGCATTAACAGTTTCAAGCCTGCCCTGCCCTGTGAGCTAAATGTGAGCCATTTAGGGCTTCCGGTGTACCAAAATCACTGTTCTCACACTTAACTAATTTAGCCCTATTAGAATGGCCAAAAAAGAAAAGAAAAAAGAAAAAAAAGTGGAACCATAATAGAGCAATGCATGTGGGAACATGTTTGTCTGACCTCAGATCCCGGCCATCTTCAGACTACATTCCCCTATTCCCACCTTGAGGAACAGGGAAGGAGGACGACTGTGGGAGAGAAAGCCAGGAAACAATGGAAGGAACCAAGCAGCAGCTAAACTATGCATACAACAGAACTGTGCTGGGCAATGGCACTAACCAGCCGGAAAGTAGCACACAAGGCCAACAGTCCAGTTTATGTATCCCATCTTTTCTTGGCTTTCATGCACAGGAGTTGACAATTGATTGTTTTCCAGATTAGAACACCTCTATGATGGCATGTCCAATGGTCATTAATGATGGGGGTTGTAGACTAGATCTGGAGGGCAGCAGGTTGCCTGCTGTCATCTAAGAGGAAGGTAGTAAGTGTTGTGGCTGAGTACCGTTGTCCTGCAAAGTAGGAAGGGAAAAGGAAGTCCATGTTGAAAGGTTTTCATGCTCAACATTAGTTGTTACCCATGGCCTTGATGAATGAACTTGTTCTAGGGTGGAATGAAGATTAGCTCCACGGCAGTCATGCCTTCAGGTCCATCCTTGCTCAGTTTTGTTTTCTTATAGCTATTAGTCCCTTCGGGGGGGGGGGG